TGTATGTATGTGTGATACATGCCTAACGAGGAATGAAAAGGTCATGAAAATATGCAATCGACTTACAAGCATACATACAAATATACGTATATTTATTCCAATTAAATAAGATGGGTTATTCATATTTCTAATTCACGAAATCCTGCCGTCGTATTTAGATCCAAAAAATTAAAGAAACTTAATTTAAATAAAAAATTAAGTTAGACAAATTTAAGTTGTTGTTCTTGTAGCGAGTTACTCAACGTCGTCTAGGTGCAAGAAAATTCAGTTATCGAACGGCAGATACAGGAAACGAGCTGTTTCGATGGGTTCGGACCGGAGCGTGATGGGGTGTTAGATATTTTGGTTTTAGTGCGCATTCAAAGAGCTGCTTAGCATGGTCTGGGGACTCATTGCACACGGGATATAGTAGTTTAAATATGATAGAATCAAGTCTGGATGGGTAAGAGTTGAGTCAACTACAGTATTCAGTACTAAAAAGGTGTCAGTATTGCTTAAGGCTCACGAGTTAGCACCGTTATCGTATGCTATAGGTCTTGGATGGATTTTAAGCATGCCATTCACGGAAAGAGAACGTATAAACCGTCCAGTCCAACGGTTCTTTTCTATGGTGCTGAATATAGTACTTTAAATGGAGTACTCTCTTCGTGATATGCCTAGTCGGTGCGGTTACCCGTAGATATTAGCTTCCACAACATAACTTTATACCCCATAATGGTAAGCATAGACGTTTCACTGTGCAACTGGTGCATGAGTGGCATTGTTAGGTTTCCCGTTACAGTCCACAGGCTGCTGCCTACTTCAACTGCCCCAGCGGGGACAGGGGGCAGCGTAATTAATGACCGGTCAAAAAAACAGGCTTGTAAGATTTGAGCAAACTTTTCGTTATCTCATTGTTGACTAGCGATTGCAGGATTATGTTGCGGCTGCTTAATTTGGTGTCAATGGAGTGAAGGAGTGTTTTATTTATTTAGATTTATTTATTATCGGAATTTCGACGTCGTCAATTTCACATTCAGTTCGAGCAGGAACTCCTTTGAACAAGTGGTGAAATGAGGGGAAGATCGCCGAGTTAGCAGTTTAACTTGGAAGAAAGGTTACCACTGCCATTATGAAGACAAGGGTTCGAGGCCTAGTTCGACCAACATCCAAAATAATAGACAAATATTTTTTTTTAATTGTGATCGTCCCTCAGTAGCTCTCCGAATGAATTCTGATCCCGTCGGAACAGCACGTTTCCTGGACCTCCCGTTAGATGACCTGGGTGACTTAGATAGCTACAACAATAACAACAACAGGATCCTCAAATGTTCGATGTAGCGTTGCATAGTTAGAGCCATAAGCCATAAGCTTTTGATGGATCCATCGCTGGTTGTTTATAGCGTGTAGTTGAAGTGTTTTACCTAGCCTTGCCGATGGACTGCTGGGCTCAGATGATGGAAAAAACCTCAAGTGGGAATGCAACTGGGAAAGGATCTCTCTTCGCTCGAGATGATTTTCATCGGTTGGCTGGTTTCGTCTGTTTTAAGACACTGTTTCCACATATCGGGTATAGTCAGAGTCAAGAAAAGTACTTTGGAGGCTTTAGCGTTATCGATATTTCACTGAACCTCCTCTGTGGAGAAATCACCACGCAGTTGTTTGTCATTTGATCAACTTAAAGCTGTAGTGTAACAACAAACGCACCTCTTGGGGTCCGGCGAGATGCGGTCATTGTCTATTTTGTATTCTTCAAGTCTAGAGTGGTATTGCAGGGCATCTCTTTTTATGATTTCTTCTTTTTTATGTGGTCTTTATTTTATAAGGGTGGTACTAATTTTACATATCTAAAAATTACTACTTCATTGCAGTACATTTTCATTGCGCAAAGAACCTAACTTGTTTCAATTAAAGATTTATCTACTTATATATGTACATACATACATACATTTGTAGTATATGAATATACACATGTATATGCGACTAGTGAACAATTGACCAAATTTAGTTGCTTGTTAACGCTAAAATATGAATAAATTAAATTTAGTTGTTGAGCAAATAACTTTCTAATCCTACGCTCGTACGCAAATTACAAAAAAGTATATATGTACATATGTATGGCCGTGGAAGGGGAATGACGTGCAAGAAGCGATTAGATTTAGATCATGTTAGTTAGGTTTTAGTTAAGAACAAATAAATATAAACATATACATTTATGTATGTTTGTTGCGAAATGCGATCTTTCCGAATCCATAAAATTAAAAAAAAAAAAAAAAAAAAAAAAAAAAAAAAAAAAAACCCTTAGGGATGATTATCTAACACATTTCTTTATACCATATCTTCTGGCACTATTTTTGATTTTTTTTAAGCGCAAGAAGTAAGGGATTGTTGCATATTTATTGTTACCATGGAGAGTGGAAATATTAATATTGGCCGATTAAGCGACTTCCCTTCGCACAACAACTAAATGCTACAACATCAAGGGACACAACACATTTCAGTATCCATAAAAATGTATGCACTTACATCCACACATACATAAATGTTATCTTTTATATACGTATATACATGTATACATATGTAAGATATGGGCCCAACTGTAGGCATAAGTATGCCTCTGACTTATGTTTATATGTACATATGTATAACTACATCTGCGAATTTCAAAAGTAATTATAGTCTTTTCTTTCTTCTTTTATTTTTATAAAAATTACTAGAAAAGAAATTTTACTGTTGAGAAACTTACATACGTTTTAAGGAGTGAATGGAACACCAGCGATAAAGTCTGGTAAATTTATCGTTTATTAGATAATGTTATCAGTATCTAAAAACAAAAATATATTATTTGTAAGTAGATACAAGATATTATGAAGAAAAGAAAAGCAATCAAGATAAATACCTAAGTGAATTGGCTTAAAACCAAGTGTATTTTGTATGGACTTTACAACAAAACTCTTACTGATAACAATTTGAAATTATCGGGTTGCCACTTTATTATACTGTCCGTCATCAAATTAATTAAACAAAAATTTTTATTTTTTATTTTTGCAAGAGCACTGTATGGGTGTGTGATAATACTCTGGTAAATGTTGGGCGAAATACGTGCAAAACGAATTGCACAGATTTACCCAACAAACCAAAAGAGGCGAATGCAACAATTCACTGGCACAACTAAGATTAGGGTTTTTATAAACGAATAAATTTCTACTTATCCACACGCATGCAATGGCCCCCAGCAAGGCACTAACCACCACTTTGCATGCCCCCTACAACCAAATGATCTAACATCAATCTCCCCTGGTTCGAAACCGTCGAAACAGCTCGTTTCCTAGACCTCCTGTTACATGACTTCAAAAATTCGTGTTGTTCTGGTATAAAGATCCAACTGTCGCGGAAAGTAATGGATTTTATTCGCCTTTTACGCCAGGCATGTCTTACCACGCGTAAATACCTGAGACCCTAACACGCAGGGTGCCTGTTTCTAAGCTGTGCTAGTTAACCGCTACAATAACAACAACAAAAATGAGCTTGAGAATTCGATTTTCGGGAAAGCATAACCATTTACGTATGGATTGAATATTTCTTTCATCAAAAAATAGTTCTTAATGAAATAAGAAATAGGAAAAAATCAAGCCTTTCCATTTAATATTAATTGTAATTATAAAAGAAATATTTAAATTTATATAATAATTTTTTATAATTATTTATCCGAAGTGTATTGAGGTTGCTCTTTTTGCCACCGCAAAAGCATTTCTGAAAGTATTTTTGGGTAACATTACGAGTGGCAGGACTTTGGATCTTAGTCTTCTCTTACGACAGTCTCCCTTACTGCGGACTAATTCTCGTAAGCCTAACCCGAAGTGATGATTCCAAAATGCGAATAACTCTAATCGCTAACAAATTGGGGGGAGAAAAAATAAATTCGCTTCTGCATATTCTACGATCTATTACTCGACCGACTCCATAATAACACAGTTCTCGTAAGTGCTTATTGGGTTAATGAATAAGAAAACAATTGTATAAAGCGTCAAAAGCAAATCAAATAATTGCTTAATATTTTTTAGATAATAATAAGTAAGTGAGAAGAGAGCAGTGGTTCGAGGGTGTTGAAAAAAACAGGCACAAAAATGCTGCGCATTATAAGGCTGTGATAAGTGCATGAATCAAAGAAAAGCTTAATACATATGTACATATGTATACCTTTATATTAATATAGATTTGTATGTACATACATACATATGTACATATAATATGTAGATCCGTATAATTTGTGCAATTCGTTTGGGGGGATAAATGTAAATTAGTTGTAATTGAGCTTTATTAGCCGGGATTTTGTATTATGATTACATCTACGAAAACATGTATATAAATATATATAATTTTAAAGCAAAAATAAAACAGACTTTGAAAACAATTTTAGTATAATATGTACATCCAAAATATCTATTACGACAATTATATAAATACTTTTCCATAAGGCTTGCGTATACCTTCATGGAGACTCTTAAAAAAGTAATTATATATCAGCGGACTTCAAGCGAGTATAGACTATATTCTTCAAACAAAATATTTAACAATACATTTTAGCAGATTATTAGAATATATGTATGTATATAAAATTATCATATACATATGTACATAATTAAAAAAAAAATTATAAACGTTATTTTCAGAAATAATGGATAAAATGATGAATTCTGGATAGTGGACACTGGGTAGAGTTTTGTATGTAGTTTGTACATACTTGTATTCCCGCCACAAACAAGATAGTTGAGGGATGAACAGCCATTTCGGTACACACGTGCTCCTTTTAGTAAGTGAAAACGAAAACAAATTTCATGCCTTCTTGCAATGTTGACTGATTCAGCATTGAAAATGCTTTTAACATACTTATGTACATATATATATATATATATATATATAATGACTCTTATTTCTTAATTCTTGATTAAACAATCATTTCGTTTTGTTTCCAACCGGTAAAGCTGTTAAAGTAAAAGACAATAATTTTGCTTACTCACCTGACTGGTTTGTTCGTTTTCGGTTTTTCTTCCCAGTTGTTGGACGTACAGCCCTATGGCACTCTAGCTTAATTTTTGTGGCGCAAAATGCGCCGTTTACTTCTTACACTTACTGATTTTATTTACTTGGATAAAAAGTTAATCTGTTCGATGACCAACGAAATAGTATGCAAATTTATGACTTTTTTGTTTTTTTGTCTACTATTCAGAGTGAATCACTATTATAAATAACAAAATTAATCGTACAAAGAGAAATACATCAAGCACTTCAAGCAAATTGATTCCGTTTTCAATAAGTTCTAGCCGCTATCGAGCTTATACTTTTGTCGTTTGGAGCGTTCCGTATAGCAATCCTCTCAACCGGAAAATAATCACACAGTTATTGTCGTCGACAATGCTATTTATTCTTTCACTTCCGCACTCACAAGATATCTTTTTATTTATCCTGTTCACGTTAATTTATTTGTTTTTCCTGTAAAAATTTTATACAAACACAATATAGCACAACAAAAAACTGTCAGCTCGCTTCTCATTGATTCTCCACATGAAAATAAAACAGTTCAAAGTTCAAGTGTTGCCAAATTAATTTTTAGAGTTTTTGTTTTAAAGGGGGAAAATTTAACGCCTCAAACATACATTACGTCAATGCATATATTCTTTGAAAATTTTTCATCTATATTATATTGACCTTTTTATATTTATGAATTATGATCAAATATTATTTTTCGTAGTAGGGAAAACTACAACGGTCTTCCTCCCTATGCATAATTTTTACTCTTCGTATAATTTCAACACTGCATCACTGTTCGATTTTAATGACAGTTGGTATGGTGATAAATAAACAGAGTAGGGTGGTGCAAATAGTTGGAAATTTCATACAAATATACACCCTGTAGCTATTTTGTACAGAGTGAACGAGATTAAGAGCTACTAATCTTTCGTTGTGGGATTACAATTATGGGTCAGTGGATCTGCGTCAATTGCCCTCTGGATAATGCAGATAATGTCTTATCTTGCGTATTGTGTGGTAGATGAAAACCCATTGCCAATAAACTGATCACAACTTATTAGCGTGGCTTCAAACCTAACCCCTGCGGGTTAAGAGTTCAAGAATTTACCCGCGGTAAGAAATGCCTGTCGTGAGTGGCGGGAATATTTTTGCGGTTACAACAACAACCTATTCAATCTGCCGTTGCCCAGACATAAACGTTGTTCTCTTTGAAGCGGATTTCTGTTGCTAATCAGCTTTGCCATAATTAGAGAACATCTTCTGCGCCGTTCGATGCTGAATAAGATTTACGACAGGAAGACTTCTTTCACCTAGAACTGGAGAACTGAATAGGGGAGTTACAACCTTCTATAAAAGCGTCCGGGAGTATTTCGAGCCGTTCTTCACCCCCTGTGGGTTAGGGGCTCCAGAATTTACCCGCGGTAAGGCATGCCTGTCGCAAGAAGCGACTAAAATCCAATAGTTCCCGCGACAGTCGGGTCTTTATACCGGAACGACCCGGATTTTTATCCGGCCAAGGACTGTCACTCCCGCAACATTCCCCAAAAAGTACTTTGGGGAATAATTTTGCGGTTACAAAAACAACAACAACATTTCGAGCCGTTATTTCTGCTTTCTCCAGGCTTTACAAGTCCATAATTTTACCACAAAATTTTTTCTCACAGTTAAGGAAATGTTATGGGAGTGACAGTACTTGGTTCGATTAAAACCCGAGTCGTTCTTTTATAAAGATCAGATTATTGCAGAAACTATTGCACTTAAGTCGCAATGACAAAATCCAATGAGTCGGCTTAATCGACGATTGAATGAAGAGTTACGCAGAGAGATCAAGGGCAGAATAACCTGGTTATAACTGGCGTTTTGTATCCGCTAGAGCGATTTTCGGTCGAGCTCCCCCCCTCCCCAATTTGTAGTTGGTAATAAGCAGTCTCCGAACGGCTGATTTTTTTTTTTTTTTAATGGTTAGCCTTTATTTCATGTCAGTAAAATACCCGGAGGTGTTGACATTCCCTGCCGAGGGTCGACCGCAAACAAAAAAATTATATTAATTTGTTAATAAAATTAATTTTCTATAACTTTTTGAATTTTGTTTGCACCGGGATTGAAGCCCGGGCCTTCTGAATGGCAGTACGCAATGCTAACTACTCGGCCTCTACTTGATTAAAGCCGTGTTTGCGATGCCAGAGTATAAACACGAACAACAATGTCAGCGTAAAAATCCAACGCTGAATCCTTCTCGCCAACAGGTGCTACTTCTGACTGAAAAGGTAGTTGAAAAGTTAAGTCCTCTCTCGAAGAACGAAAACCAAACTCTGCGAGTCGCTTATCGTTCTCGTCCTGCTATATGGTGCGGAGGCATGGACGATCACAACATCTGTTGAGTCACAATTAGGAAAGGTTTTGCGTAAGATTTATGGTTAACAAGTATACGAGTTGTACAATGATATTGAAGTGAATGAAGAGACAGCGGCTACGCTGACTATGTCATGTCGACTGAATGGATGAAAACACTCCAGCTTCGAAAGTATTTGAATATCCGTCGATGGAAGCAGAGGAAGAGGAAGATCTCCTACTTCGTTGAAACGACCAGGTAGAGAAGGACCTGGCTGTACTTGGTGTCACCTATTGGCGCTAAACAGCGAAAAGCAGAAATGAATGGCGCAATGTTATTAATTCGGCCAGTAAAGAAGAAGAACTGATACCAGAGATTTGATTGACGTTCTCTGCCCACGACAAATTAGAAGAATAAGAATGAAAATAAAACCATCCTCTTTTGAAGAAAAAATCATTCAGTTTCTAATACTTTTGCAATAAATTTATTAGTTTAGAAAATATACATACATATGCACACGCATGGAAGTGAGAAGTTTTAGTGACTAAAATGGGTAAAGTGTCTATGATGCAGCGAGCGGAATTCGTCTAAATAATGAAAATTTGCTAATTGAAAACACTGCATGTGCGCGTGCTTTCTGATTGAGGCAGATCCAGTTGCCACGCTTACTTTTTCAACTGAATTTTCTGAAATGGATGAGCTTCAATGTATGCCAAAGCTTTGAGTATGTAGTCTGGTATTGGTGGAGGTGTTGGTAGGTGGTCTCCTTTCGGTTGATAACCGTTTTCATCGGCTATGTAAGTTAATTGTATGGGCTGCCCTTCGGGTGAAGTGTACGAATAAGAACCCGCAGCATAAGTGCCGCCAACGCCTGCCTCTTCAGCTCGTATTTTATTGGAGGTTTCATAAGCATAATTGTAGCTGCCATCAGGATTCACGTCATTCTGATATCTCACTATGGACGCATGTGCATCGGCAGGATCGCCAGCAGCGTAAGTGTAAGCGATTAATGTGGTGGCGGCTAGAAGCTGCGGGTAAGAAAAAGTGTGAATGGAGTTTTATGTTTATAAAACTGAAGGTCTGCTTAATAGTACGGTTTAAAGTTGAACTTACTACTTTAAACATTTTGTTATTTTTTTCTTATGATTTGTACTGTTTCCCGTTGTCGAATTTGAACTCTTCTCCCAATTGCTGCCTCTATGGACGGAAGTAATTCTGTTACTGATTTGCTAGCGTTAGAAAACATTTTTATATATTTCGCAAGTTAACCCCCTGGTGTGTGGCTGAAGCATATCGAGTCTTCTCCGAACTGCACCCATCACAATACTCGCTGCTCGTGCTCATACATATCTACATGATTATGTTTGGACATACCTATAGTCACACTATGAAGAGATTTAACGCCTTTAGAAGAAGAAGAAGAAGAAGAAGAAGACGAAAAAAGTGAAATATAGCTGATCATTTGCAAATAAATAATCCATGGCTTTTATGAAATACTAAACCGATTACTATCAGTCTCTACACACATTTGTTTATATTCAAGTTTTATTTCCTTTTAATGCGCTTATCAGTTTGCAATTTCGGTTTGACCGAGTTTTGTGATCTCTCGATAGCGTATGACTGATCAGCAGAAGAAGAAACAAATAGAAATGCTAACAAAATATTATAAATGCAGCGTCCGTAACGCACATAAACAACTAAATGTCAGATTATTTGAATTTATTAATCGATTAATAAACAATATGGTGATCCCTAATGTGGCGGAAGGGGTGTAAGGAGCGACTGAAATAATGCCTAAAAATGCATAAATGCAATGATTATGATTATTAAAATGCAAATCCATTCGTTTTAATTTATAAACAAAAACACACAAAAGAAAAAAATTAAAAAAAAAAACATTTGTGTTTCTATAAAAGTGTTACGCACATAAATAAATAAAACAATGTTTTTAGTTGTGCATGCTGATACCTACACGTATGTGTGTATGTATGTATATACATATACTGCAATACTCATGAATTGAATGCTCTGATTCAGCATTTGCATATTTATTGTGGTATTTAAAAACAACGGTTGTGTGCCAGTTGCTTGGTTGCTTGGTTGTTTGCTTGATAAGATGTCAGTAAACCCTTGAAAGAAATATTTAGCGCTTAAAACAATATATGCACATATATATGCATATAGTAGACATTAAGATAACGATCTTGCTTACTGTCACAATGCGACAAACAACCAAGAAAAAACTGCATGCTTTATACACACATACATCTACGTACGCGATTCAAATAATACAATTCACCACGAATGAGTGAAATATTGATAAATAACTGCTTCTGTTAAACAGTGTTTTAGTTACGCCTAAAAGTATGCAAGGAAACCTCTTAACAACGGAATGTTTTAATTACCTTTTATGAAAAGAGCTAAAAAAATGGTAATATATTTAATTAAATTTATTATACTTTTCATGCACACGGTGTGTCCAAAAAATAACCGAGCTTTATATTTAAATCATACAACATACAGCGCCATCTATTGATAATTTGCAACATTAAAATGAAACATTCATCCTCTTTCAAACGCAGCTAACATCATGAAAGTCGGATGACAGATGTATATGTGACAGCCATTTCAATAAAACCAAAAGTGTGCTAATGGTTCAAAAATAAAATGGAACAAAGAGAAAATTTAAAATTTTGTGTCAAAATTGAAAAAAAAATTAATTAAAAAAGTTTATTGTGACGATTGTATGAGTCGTACGCAAGTTTATACATGGTTTACACGATTTAAAAATGATCGTGAGGATTTAACTGACGACCCTAGAGCAGGACGTCCAGAAACTAGTAATCGTGCTGAACTGGTGGAAAAAGTGCGTGAAATCATTGGTATCGATGCAAATTTTACTACGAGAATTTTGGCTGAGGAATTGAATACGAGTAAAAATACTATTTGGAGAATTTAAACTTAAAATTTGGGGAAAAGAAAGGTCTGTGCGCGATTTGTTCCACATGAATTAAATGACGACCAAAAAATCGCTCGAATTTTTAATGAAAAAAAGGGATTTCTCTCATCGACCATCCTCCGACCTTCGCCTGATCTATCACCATGTGACTATTTTTTTATTTCCAAAACTGAAAACCAAGATGAAGGGAGCATTTTATGATGATACCCCAGCCATTCAAGCAGCCGTAACCGATGTACTGAAGAACATTTCTATAAATGACATAAAAAAATCTATGCATTGCATGCGTTGGTTGATCGTTCCAAACGTTGTGTTGAGTCAAATGGAACCTATTTTGTATAAATAATAACTTTCAAAGATAATATAATTTGTATTTTATTTTATATCCAAAAAGTTCGGTTATTTTTGGGACACACCGTGTACATTAAAATGGTATATGAACTTGGGTCCGATGTATGGCATTGCCAGAGCGAGAAGACTAAGTATGAGCAGAATGCAGAGTTGGTTCGATTTAGACATTTTCCTTTTTCCGCCTGTTCGTCTGTTTGTAGGCAAAGTAGTGCACAAGTTTTGATACGCAGATGCAGAGTTACATTTACAGGCCTATTCTGTCGAGGTAACAAAATTTACTTTGATATTTAAATTTACTATTCAGTAAATTTTGTTACCATTTCGTATTCTGAGCTCACAGTTACCCTGTAAATTTTGTTACCACCGAAATAGGAGATATCAAACAATCAGCTGTTCGATTTTGTGTTGTCAATTTGTGAAAAAATAAAAAAAACCAAAATGTCTAGAATCAATTGCAGATGAAAAAAATTGTACAAGAATGCGCATGTCATTCAGTATTTAACAATTTGTTTAGAGCTTGTGAACGAATTGCCTTTATATGACAAGGGAGTCGATGTTCATTTTCATATGTAATTTTTAAATGGATTTTTTTTTTATACAGAAGACATCGTTGCCGTTTTATTGGAGGTTTCTCTCAAGAACATAATTCTTTTCTCACGGGTCGTATCAGGAATTCTGTGGGAGCAATTGTCCAACTGCAATGACCCAGGGCTTTGTTTCGCGATCACTGCACTATATTTCAAATTCGATTGCTAAAGTAAAGCCTTCCCAACAACAAAGGAAAGGCAAATATATGTATATAAGGATTTTCTTCACTTTTCTTTACCAACAGTCAAATGTAATTTGACATGGATGAAAAAAACAGTGCTGCCAAAGTTTTCTCAAACATTGTCACCAGTTCGCCAGAATACCAAATTCAATTTCGGATGTTAAAAAAGTAACAAAATTTACTTTACCGGTAACAAGGAGAATAGGTCTGTTAAATGATCATTTATTGGAACCGGACCAGTAAAAGTGATTTTTTCAGATTTCAGATTTTGGTTTTTAAGTCCGACAAAAAAGCATCTAATGAATTATATATTTGATACTGAATATTATCGCAATCGGATAACTTTCCAGAGAACTTATAACTACGAGAAGATGCAATAGACTTTATTTGACAGTTATTATAAGTTCTCTGAGCTCCCTTACAGCGCACAGTGGGGTAAATGCTGCTCAAAATGGAGTAATTTCCACAAGCCTACTAGTTACGAAAAAGCAATTTTTTTTAATTAATTAATCATAAAAAAGGAAAAAAATTATGCAATTACAGTTATTTGAATGATTTTTTTAAATCAAAAAAAAAAAAAAAAAATGGATAAAAATAAAAAAATAAAATAAAATAAAAAAAATTAAATACGAATTTAAATAAAAAAAAAAAAAAAAAAAATGGTGAACATCTTTTTTCAACAATTTTTGCTTATTTAAGTTACAAATTTTATTTAAAATATATTAAGTGCTCCTTCATCACAATATTCATTTCAATGATCACTATCATCTTCGCTTGAATTGTCATTATAGGCTTCATCAACATTAACATCAACTTCATTATTATTGGCCCTCTCTATCTCTAAGGCTTCTTCCGGTAAATCCTGCACTTTTTTTTGTGGTATTTTTTTTTGTGGTAGATATAACAGGGTCCGAAGTAATTAAAAGTCTGTTGAATATGTCTTCATTTGCTTTCTTTCTGCTGTTGCCTATAAGTCTTAAAATCTTTGTTTCGAGCTTCCTGAGCTTCTTCTGGTTCTAGTCCGATTGGTTACAGGGCGTGGGATATTATCTCTGGTGAAGCGGAGCTACCCTCAGTGTTGTCGTCGAATGTGCCGATCCTCTGTTTACTCTTTGAGCGCATGGTAAATATTTGGTCAGTGATTGATTTAGCAGGCCTGGAGCCACACTGATAAGGTCTAGTCATTTTGTTGACGGTGGTGGGTTTTAGTCTATTACGTAATACGCTCGATAGGACCTTAGGAGGCTTATCTCATGGTAATTGGCGCAGATTGTGGGATAGCCCTTTTCGTGGATTGGACAGAACACACTTAGGTTCCAATCGTCGGGTATGCTTTTGTCCGAACATAGTTTGCAAATCAGTTGATGCATGCACCTTGCCACGTTCAAATAACTGAGTTGGTAATTCATCGACTCCCGCCGCATTGTTGTTCTTTAAGCGGGCGATTGCTTTTTGAACTCCTTCATAATCGGACAAAAAAAACAGCAGTTCTATCGTCATCGATTGGGGAATCGGGCTCGCCATCTCCTGGTGTTGCACTTTCACTGCCATTCAGCAGATTGAAGATATGTTCCCTCCATAAATCCAGTATACTCTGGGCATCAGCTACTAGATCATCTTTTTTTGTCCTGCAAGAGTCTGCTCCGGTCTTGAAACGGCTCTTTTAGTTCAACGGAACAGGTTGATCGACTTCGACGTGTCCTCCAGTGTAGTTATCTGAAGTATTAACATCCAGCATTTGAAAATTTATCAATCTACTTGGTTGACTGTCAACAAGCATAAGGAAAGAGCTTCAATCACAACAGTCAGTCAAGGGTTTTTCTATTCTGTTCTCTGAGAGCACTGATTAGAAACTTGCGCGGGAGGCACAGCCAAAGTTGAAGACAGAAGCGAGATGAATTTCAGGACAGGCAAAGCGGGAGGCTGAAAAGTATAAGGAAGAAGGGCTTGAGAAACTGAACGATAGGTGTAACTCTCGATTTCAAGACCAGAGCATTCCGTATTTAAAGAGATGATCTAGTGGCCGATACCCAGAGCTTACTGTATCGGGAACACTTTTTCAGCCTGCTGAATGGCAGTGAAATGGAAACACACCAGTAGATGGCGAACTCGATTCCCCAACTGATGACGATAGAATAGACGTTCCATCCCCGACTATAAAGAAGTCCGATTAGCGAGTGCTCGTTTAAAGAACAGTAACGCGGCGGAAGCAGATGGCCTATCGGCTCAACTACTAAATAATGGCGGCAAAGAACTGACGGGGTATATACTTCAGCTTCTTTAACTTAATTCCGGTGAAAATAATACAAATTATTCAACTAAGCATAGAACAGACAATCTTTTAGAAGAGCGATATTGACATTATCGGTCACAGACTGAATAAAGAAGCGAGATAGAATGGTATCGAAGCGGACGATATTCCCTCCGCAGGTGGATTGCGGAGTATTTATACGAAAAGGCAATCAACCAAACTGTAGGCGGGTGGAAATGGAATTAAATTTGCAGCCGAAGGGCTACAGTGTAAACAAAAATTGTTTGATAACGGTGAAAATATTTCGAGCATTACAAATGTTTATATGGTTTAAGTATTTAATGTGAGATATGTATGTATTGTACATAGAACAAAGTCTGATTGCATTTGAGTTTCGCCTTAGGAACTTGTCTCTTATACAGACTAACGGTCAATTTTTAAATAACTTAAAAGTGTCTGCGTTGAGTGGGACGTTGCAAGCTTTTCACTTGGTGGCTGGACGCTGCAACATGTTGAAATTGTTGATGACGAGGATGAGCTTGTGGCTGTGGACGATACTGTTGTTGTTGCTGTTGCTGTTGATGATGTTGACGGTGGGCAGATTCCTCATCATATGGATGCAGACGAATGTATTCCAAGGATTTGAGGATTTGTGGAGGAATTGGTGGAGGTGTGGGCAAGTGATTTCCCTGTGGCTTGAAACCATTTTCATCGGCCAAATATGAAAGTTGGATGAGTTCACCCTCTGGCGAGTAATACGAGAAACCACCGCTAGCATGATGACCGCCGAAGCCATCCTCCTGCACGGCAATACCATTCGAGGTCGAGTAATCCACTTTATAGCTACCATCCACATTCAACTGACTATCATGCTTGAGTATCTCCGCATGAGCGGTGGGACTAATGCCGGCATGTGCAACGCAAACCAGTGCGGCAGCGGTGGTGGCAATAAGGATCTGAAAATTTCAAGTTATTTATTTAGTACAACTCGCTGAAGAGACACAACAAATCACCAATACTTACGAACTTGTACATTTTTAAGTGGTTTCTTCTTACAAATGTGGAGGTTTGCTTTTGCAGTTACTAAATCGATTTGATGCTGATTAGCGAAATCGCATCAGTTTTATACGAAAAACCATTTGTCAACTGACAGCTTAAATCAAATTGCTGTTGAGTTTGGCTTTTGTTATGCAAATCTCAAGTCAAGGCGTCAATCACAAACAACGGAATTATGTTTAAAGGTTCGGTTCCAACATATGTCAGCTTTTTGAATTTGGCTTTAACAATTGAACGACCTAGCGAGCGTTTCTGCATAAAGCAAAGGTGCACACGCCCAGCCTAAGATCAGTGCACCTACATACATACATACAAACATACATACATACATACATCAGACATATGTATGTATGTAAGTTATGAAAACGAGAGGCGGTCATCCATTGAATTTGAACAAAGTCATAAATACTAGATATACTTACATATGTATGCACATACATACGGTACATATGTATGTATGCATGTATATACATACATATTTCAAGTTCATTATTTAAAAAATTAAATTAGCAAACATGGTGCCATGAAAACTAATTAAAATAACAGAAGACCGCTAGTCTAGCTTAGTGAACTGTTACTAATTTTTGTTCGCTTTTGCGAAGATATGCATATATGTACATATGTACGAGTATGTATATACTAAGGTACGAAACAAACTATTTAAAGTAATTTTTATTAATAATAATTAACACAATATATTGTACCTTCATAAACAATTACAAAAAAATTGCTTTGTGACAGATGAGCACTTTTGGGCCTTTTCATTCATACGAGGGGATTAACAAAAGTTCGATAATTTTACAAGAACAAAACAGCAACTTTTTTACCTTCTCTACATAATCTCCATTGAGATTTCAATGCATTTCTTATGCCTGTAGATTCCACTTCGGAAAACAGTCTTCAAAATCTTGCCTTTTAGTCTTATTAAGTTCAGCGATAATCGATTTATTTATATCCTGGTTGCTATTAAGGGGCACACCTAGTGAGAAATTTCAAATCGATTTTTCCATATTTCGGTAGATTACACCTTTAAAAATAACATCTTAAAATTTCAAATTGATATCTTAAATAGTTTTTGAGTTATAGCAATTTAAAGAGCAGCCGCTCGGCAGATAGAGAGTCTCATTGGCTACGAGACGTAACTGAGGTATTTTATCTTTAAACGCGTTTTTCTCGAAACAGCATTTTCCGCATATGCTGCAGTGATTACTCAAAAACAAATGATCTGATCACTATCGATTTTTTTTACATGTTCTATATATAGTTCTCCGTACAATGACCTATCTATTCTTGATCTGATCAAAAAATCGAATTTTGGCAGGCCAAAAACGACCAAAATTTTGGGTAAAATTTGACTATTTTTTTTTTAAACGCCGCCTTATTGCCAATTTTTTGTTTTTTTTTATCGCAGGTTATTGGGCAGACAATATTATCTTAACGAGAATTTTTTTTTAGATTTCAACCATGAAGAAGGTCGGAATCACTGCAGCAATGAAAAACTTTTTTTTGCACCGTTGGAGATCGAATATAACTTAAGAAATATTTAATTTTTTTTCTTCAAAAATTTCACTGTATATTCTTGAAACATGTATAAATATATTCTTAAAATTTTGAATTAATTGATAAAGTATTTTTTTTTAATAAAAATTTCCAAAAATCACCTTTTTTAAGCCTATTACATTAGGTGTGCCCCTTAAAGACCTTTCCATTTATTGGTTGAGTGCATAAGTTCGTGCCCGATTCCGCTGGATGCCGTTCGAATCGTTTGAGAGTGGCGCTCGTGAAAGAAATATATACATATTATATATATATCGTTGGAAAGGTGACAGTCCGAACTGTAAATTAAGCATAAAATAACTTCATTTTGATTTGAGTTGCTTAGTGAAAAGACGCATGGAAGATGGATAACGAAAGAGATCATATGTGTCATATTATGTTATACGAATTCTGCAAAGAAAAACAGTAGGCGCGGTAACTAAAGAAATTCGCGAAGTTTATTTGGACCGTGCTCCAGCACTCCGCACAGTAAAGAAATGGTTCGCGAAATTTCGTTCTGGAGATTTTAACCTCGAAGATCAACCTCGCAGTGGACGGCCTTCTGAGCTTGATGACGATGTTCTAAGGACTTTAGTTGCGAATAACTCACGTATTTCGACGGAAGAGGTTGCCAGTGAATTGAACGTCAACAAATCAACTGCGTTTCGTCGTTTAAAAAAGGTTGGGTACACTTTGAAGCTCGATACATGGGTGCCACATCAGTTGAGTGAAAAAAACAAAGTGGACCGTATGTCAACAGCAATTTCTTTGCTTCGACGGATCAAAAACGAACCTTTTTTGGATCGGCTCGTGACTGGTGATGAAAAATGGATCCTGTACAACAATGTTCAACGCAAAAGAACATGGAAACAGGCACACGAAGGGGCGGAACCGATGTCGAAAGGTGGATTGCATCCGATGAAGGTACTGCTGTGCATTTGGTGGGATATCCGAGGCGTGATCTATTTTGAGCTCTTGCCAGCTGGAGAAACGATCACTGCCAACAAGTATTGTCAGCAATTGGTCGAATTGAAGAAAGCAATTGATGAAAAACGTCCGATTTTGGCCAATCGCAAAGGAGTTCTTTTCCATCATGACAACGCCAGGCCACATGTTGCAAAACCGACCCTGGCCAAACTGAAGGAGATGAATTGGGAAATCATGCCGCATCCCCCATATTCACCCGACATTGCACCTTCTGATTATCATTTGTTTCGATCGCTGCAGAACAATTTGAATGGAAAAAAATTTAAAAATGTGGAAGACGTCAAAAACCACCTTGACACCTTTTTCAACGAGAAACCGCGCGATTTCTATGAATCAGGCATCCGTAAATTGGTTGAACGTTGGGAGTGGATTGCCGAACATGATGGCGAATACATAATTGATTAATAAAAGCGCTTTCTTCAAAAAATTTCAATTTTAGTTTGCACTTGAAATCGGGCACGAACTTATGCACTCATCCAATAATTTTTTTTTAATTTTTGGAAATAACCAGAAATCACAATCATGATACAGCCATGGAACTCAAGCCTAATTTATTAGCAAACCATCATTGTGTGAGTCGTGGGTCTTCATCAATTTATACTCTCAAAGCTAGAGTGCTTTCATCGATTCGGATGACATGACCTAGCCAAGGTACAAGGTCGCTGTCTCTTCATTTAGTGAACTATGACATAAAGCTCATCGTTCCATCGACTTGATATTCGCCATTACCGAAGAACCATAAATCGCTGGCGAAACTTTCCTCCCGACGACTATCAAGGCAGACTCATCGGATTGCGACATCGTCGAGGTCCCGTCATCATATAAATAGTAGGATGGTGATGAGGAAGAGGTGTGGCTTTTGTTTGGAATACTTTAATTCTTGATTGCCTACTCAATCCTAAGCTGCACCTGTTCGTAAGAGTAATTCTACGTTGGATTTTAAGGCTCACATTGTTGTTGGTTTAATACTAGTTCCAAGAGAGCTATAGAAATTATTGTACGACTTCAAAATTATGACTGGCAACAGTGACGTTGGCGCCAAGACGAGAAATTGCTGACAGCTTCTCTGATGCTAGAAGACATCTAGTCTTGTCCATCCCTTCTAATCGCTCCCTATTCCACCTAGAGAAAGCAGAACTTAATTGGTATGCCGATGATAAGTCAGCAGTTGTACACTCTCACAGAAGATTATTCCATCTCTGTATAGCTCTGCAGTTGGTTTTAATTACTCCAGCATGAATGGTTCGAAGAGATCCTTCTGGACCCTTACAAAGTTTTTGCTTGTGTTCAGCGTCAGTTTGTACCTACATATAAATACAAATATAGCAGGATAATAGAGATCTTTTCCTTCCTGCTTTAAAATCGTTGAAGTGGTCGTGTGTGGCGATTATTTTCTTACGAGCCTTTCCCAAGATGTGACAAATGCTGAAGATCTGTTCAATTGTAGCTTTGCCAGGTCTGAAGCCACACTAAGAAGGCTCAATCAGTGCGTGAGCTTTAATATTTTACGCAACACGCATGAGAGGATCTTAATGCGATATTGATAGGATAGGATCCAGTTTTTTCAAGATTGGGAAGAACAGAACTTTAGGCTTGCCCGTTCGAATTTTGAAAACAGACTGTTGCATGCCTTTGGCAGTACTTTCGGTCAATATCTGTATAGTTCACTTATCTCTCACGGTCTTCTTCATAGTCGGGTAATGGTAATGGAACTTCCATAGACATCGATTGGGGAGTGGACTTTACCGTCTTCTGCCAATAAGCAAGCTGGAGTTGTGTTTCCCCCATAAACTAACTATTCAGATAACCTCGCTGGATTCTCGTCAGATTTTTTCATAGAAATATCGACTGTTACCTCTGCCGGCCACCTCCTGTAGTTCTTTAAACTCACACATTTCGGCCTCTCGCTTTTTCTGGTAGCGTCTCGTTTCAACACAGCCCGCGTTGCGATCGATTTCAGCGTTGCGAGATAGGATCTCCTTTCGATCCCATCGAAAACCCATAGTTTTGTTGGCTGCTGAAGGTAGAGCGCTTAAATTGCTATCTCACAGTATCCTTATACCGAGTTGCCGATGAGTGCTGTCGGAGAGCAGGAGTGCAAGTCGAGAATATAAATATTTAGATGTATTTTGTGATTGCAGCTTCTCGCTGTCTAACTTTTCTAAGGAAAATGATACATATAAATGTGAAGGATCAAGGGGCATTTATGGCTTTGCTCTAGCGCATCACGAATCTGCTGGTTTTTCTGTCTTGAGTAACTCGACATTTCAGTTCCGAGGGCGATGGTTTAGCAGATACATTAGCTCATTCTGGTATACTTTGGCATACCAGTTCCATTACGGGGGTACTGAAACCCGAAATGTTTGCCATGGTAAAACAAAATCATAACCTTAATAAATTTGCAAAAATAATTACGAAACAGATCCAGCTAAAATCCTTCTTCGAAATAACCCGGCATAGGGCATAGAGCTTATGAACTTTTCAATTATAGTCTCACAAATATAGTTCAGCAATGTTTAATTTGCCTGATCTTTGAGGCCACGAAGCGAGATAATGTGGTCACTACAAATTTCCTTCAATAAAATTATTGTTTCGTTAGCTGTGTGGCATACAGCGCCCTCATCCTGGATCCAAAGGTCCTCCACATGAGCCTCCTCGAATTCAGGCACGAAAAATTCATTAATTATGTCTCCAAAGCATTCACAATTGGCTAAAATTTTATGGCGAGCTTTATTTTTGGAGAAATGTGACGGCATCTCAACAGTAGCTTGCTGCAAGTGCGACAATTGTGCTTATTTATGTACTCATTCACTGAAAGTGGGACGGACCAAGCCTGTTCGTTATGAAATGGCAAGCCAATTCAATGGAGGAAATCTAGTAACACCTATCAAAACCACAAATCCCGAAATGAGTATTGTTTCATTGAAAACCACACGGCTAAGGCAACACCTTACACTTATACCGATCGCCAATTCCAATAATTTTGTACAGAGGACCACTACGCTGTTGCAAAGTGGACACGGCATTTTTCTTATCCAACTAAGGACCAGGAATCCATACGATCCTGAGAGGAAGTAACATTCTTGTTTTGCTTCCATGAGCTGGTATTGAGATGAGTACTTTCAAAGCTGGAATGCTTTCGTCCATTTGGACATTATGACGCACGCGGAACTATTGTATATCAGGGTCACCGTATAACTCGTGCAGCTTGTTCTCGTTCCATCGTCTGCGGTATTCGTATTTGCCAATGCACAAAGGACCATAATTCTTTCGCAAAACTTTTGTCTCGAAGACATCTAAGGCCGACTCAGCGTACGTCAACATCGTCCACGCTTCTGCATCACATAGTGGGACCGGAATGATAAGGGACTTGTAAAGTTTGGTTTTCAATCGCCGAGAGAGAACTTTAACTCAATTACCTACTCAGTCCTAAGTAGCACCTGTGATTCTGCGTTGGATATTACGACTGACATTATTATTGATGTTAACACAGGTCTCTAGATACGACCTCGAAGTTATGAGTGACATGAGAGCCAAGCCGTAAGTGTGTCTCGACCTCGTTCACTACAAGACCAATTAACTTCGCTGCTTTAACGAGCCAGGAGAAGGTAGAACTAACGGCTGATGAGATGCTACCAACGCAGAAAACCATACATATACAATATATCAATATATTTGTTGAGATTTGGTTTGGATTTAAGGCAATAATCTCACCCAGTTTTGCTTCAGAAAATGTCCTTGGAAGTAGTAAATCAACAGACAGTGTGGTCTAGGATAAACGGCTACATATATACTGTGTTTTTGGCCACCCGGGCAATATGGGTAAGGATATGGGAGATGAGTTTGCCAAAAGTGCCATACATGAGAGAGATAGAACGCTTTAGCGACATGCAAAACCGTCAAGATCGTGCGAAAGGGCAGTTAAGGACTGTTTCTTGCTGCCACGTTCACGAGTACAGTTGTTGGCAATTGCATCGAGGAAGGCATGAGTGAGGCGTTAGAACACCTGCTCTGTTTCTGTACGCACTTAGCCAGAACTCGTCTTAGATATCTCGGCGCTTTGCAGTTCAAAGGACTAGAGGTGGCTTCCAAATAAAAGCTCTTTTGGACTACGACGACTAGTTTAGATCCGCAATAAAATTGACTCCTCCTAGCACTACATAGAACCAAGGGATCTATCTAAGACACAGTATAACCTAATCCCACCTAATAGTAAAAACCAGGGTATTGGTTATTAGCCTAGCCAAGGTACGAACCCTTGATATAGTACACTGTTGACCATTCCGATACAGTTTAGGGTAAATAAAAACAAGAAACTACAAATCAACATTTTATTTTGTACGCAGAAAACAACTGATTCTTAAAATGAAACAAATACGGGAACTCCAGTGGCTCGTGTGGTTACACATACATATATACGTACCTTCATATATGTACACATACGCTTATATTCACAATAATCTACAACCACTTATGCAAGTTAAGCTTGTCCGCTGGCACCCTTGCGTTCTTCCTGCGGCGGATGTGTGCGTATGTACTCGAGTGCTTTGAGAATAGCCTCCGGTACTGGTGGTGGTGTTGGCAAATGCTCGCCAGCCGGATGGAAGCCATTCTCGTCGGCTGTATAACTCAGCTGAATGAGTTGGCCATCTGGTGCATAATAGGCCGATGATCCGCTAGCATAATAGCCGCCAACACCGGATTCGCCAGCGGCAATGCCATTCGAAGTTTCATACTGATATTGGTAGCTGCCATCCTCTTTCAATTCACTCTTGAAATTGCGTGTCTCGGCCGCTGCATCATATTGGTCGGGACGAGCTTCAGCAGAATAGCTGCAACACAATACGATGGTTAAAACGAGTGCCGTGGCGAAAGCGAGGGTGTTGCCAGTGGTGTTGGTGGTGGTGGTCTGTAAATAATTCGATCGCAATGTAAAATTGTTTTGTTAACGATTTTCATCCTTACAAACATGAATTCGGATATGTGTGTATGTGAGTACACATACATACGTGTACATAAGTACGAATTGTTGAAGAGCACTTGGCTCTCACTCTTCACTTACACTTTTCGACATTTTCGGTGTGTTCTGCTCACGTGTTTGTTAAATGGGTGATGCTTTTGCCTTGGACGTTGACACGAGAATGAATAAGTGACCGAGTGGCTGTAGGCACATTTATAGGAGCAAAGTGTCCAGCTATTTTGTTTCATTTCGGACTGTTCCACGAAGTTATTAAACCAGATTTCGCCTTTGGGGAGAGGAAAAACAAGTACTACGAAACGTAAAACATAAATAAGAAATAGCTGCAGCAAAGAATAATCAAAATTAAAACTAAAATTATAATTGCACAGTGGCGATCAATGATGTTGTTGTTGTTGTTGTTGTTGTTTTATTTATGAAATTGGTTGAACTATAAGTTTCTGTGTCATTTAATTTTTTGCAATTTTATTGTCTCATTTAAAAAAATGCGGAACAATTTTTCGTTCGGCTTTGTTCAATTCATTTTCCCTTAACAATTTTAACTTTGAAAAACTATAATCCATATATACATACATACATACACATATAAGTATTGCATTTATTTTGGTTCAAACCCTTTATGACACAATCACAAAAGCCACTTGGTGCATAGAAGACACTGGAAAAAGAATTCTTCTGTCTTCTAACAGAAACGAAAATTGATAAAGCAGTAGACTTTGTAATAAAAGACTGCAAGGCCGCTTTTGAGACCTCATGCCCTCTATCCATACAATCGGAAAAAAAGAAAGGACCCAAATGGTGAAATAATGAAGTCTCTTTATTTTAAGGAAGAAAAGCAGAAAACGCTTCAATGAAGCCAAGAGCCTGACAATCTTATAAAGCTTGTCAAACTCTAAAAGAACGGTAAGGCCTTCTGCAGTGACATTGAAGGAAATGCGGAAGGCAGTAGATTGCACCGCAATCGCAAATTACATCCAGAAACCAAATGGTGAATGGACGGCATTTCGTGAGGAAAGGATACCCTCGTTAGCACCAACTTTCCGGGATGTTCGACAGGACATGACCAAACCATACGGGAAGAAAGTGAGCACTACTTGGATATCAGCAGCATTGTCTGCCGCAAAAGAGTGGAATGGGCGATTAAGTCTTTATAACTCTACAAATCTCCAGTACCAGATGGAATCTTTTCCGCTGAACTACAGAGGGCTGAGGACATTCTATCCTCATTTCTGTGTAGAATTTACAAAACCTTTCTATATGTAGGGTACATCCCCCGAGCATGGACAAAGACCAAAGTAATTTTTATACCAAAAGGAGGAAGAGCCGACCTTGTCAATCCACAAGATAATCGACCAATCAGTCTTACGTCTTTTTTCTTAAAAATCTTGAAAAGGCTGCTGGAAAGCTATATATGACGGAGTCTAACCCCAAACAGCTTCCCGGGAAAGCAGCATGCTTACTACAAGGGTAAGTCAGTTGATACAGCATCGCATCGAAAAAGGACTTGACGTGAAGGAATATATTTGGTATTTTCCTCGATAGTGGGTGGGCTTTAATAAAGCATTCTTCCTGCCTTCGTAATAGATGGACTTCAGGAAATGGATCTCCAAGAGCCCATAGTGAATATCGTAGAGTCTCTTCTGAGTAATAGAATCATCTTTGCAGGGATTGGGCAGCGCCAGTGTTACCAGACACGCAACAAGATGCACCATTCAAGGTGGAGTTTTATCGTCACTGACGATTTCGCCCTGACAGCGGCAGGCAAGCACCTACAAACATTAAGTGATCTACTCTAAAATGCTCTCTGCATAGTTAAGGGATGGGGCTAGACGTGAACTCTGATAAAACCGAGATGGTGTTATTTACCTGGAGGTACAAACCGCATGCCTTTACCGCATGTAACGGTACGACGTCAAAAGTGGCCATAAATTGTAGGAACTTTTTTAACAAACTCTCAACGAAGTACAATACTGCCATGGACTGGGTACCTGGACACAGGGACATTCCAGGCAATCGCATGGCAGACAAACTGGGAAGAGAAGGAATCCTTCTACCCAAAATAAAACATGCACAGGATGCTAGCTTACCTCTGTCCACGCTTAAACTAGCCTTCGCCAAGGAAGCTGACTCACGATGGTTGAACGAGATCACGTGCAACGTGACCAGACAGCTATGACCGATTTTGGACGCAAAAAATTCAAAACATCTTATCCTTCTAAACCGGTTCTCCCTTAACATAACGACTGATATAATAACTGGACACTGTTTAATGGGGCTTCACGGGAAAATAATGGGATATCATTCCAATGATATCAGCCGCAGCACGAAGAAAAGGAAGAGACCATCGAGCAATACGTTTGCCACTATCTAGCCTTGACATCTGTGCGACAGAGCAGTTTCTTCGGAAACACTTTACATCTCCGAATATTGGAAATAACATTAACTTTTTAAGGCACACGAAATGGTTCAATCATTTTAGAAGGTGAAGACAGGAGACTTTGCGATATCACAATGGGCCTATTGGCCTAAGTGTGCTGGTGGTGACCAACAGCCGCATCAACTCAAATCAAAACCAACAGGTCTCACCCTTTTAAATATACCAGAGGTTGCCAGCGACTTCGTCCGCATGGAATTCCAAGATGGTTCGAATAAGATTTTTATTAGGTTTTTACGTTGTGTCTCTTATTATAACTTTAAAAATACTACGTTGAAATATATGGAAAAGAAAGAAAAGTTTACCACAAATTAGGTTAGCTGAAGGGGTATCCATGTCTTAGATATCAAGCAAATCTAATTATGAATATAATTTTTACGAACAGATCGGTCCCTGGTTTAGTTCCAAAAAGAAAAGTTAATCAAAAATGAATTTAGACCTACCTCTGTAGCGATAAATATAACTTTTTCGAATATATCGGTCCCAGGTCCACTTCCCGGAAGAAAAAGTGTTCTCCATATAAATTAAAGCAAAAATTTACCTATGTAAAAAATTTAAATTTTCATTCTATTGCTCGAATAGATCGCTTTAAGGTCCCCTTACCGCAAAATCATTTCTTTCCGGGGGCACACGTCATATGCAGATAACACCCTTCTAGTTTTAGGTCTATTCGATCAGTGGCTAATTCAGTGAGTAGATCCGTCAGTGAGCTGTACGAGTTATATGGCGATATTGATATTGTTCAGAGAATAAAGAAGCAGAAGCTAGTTTTGAAAGTTTTCGATGCAGTAGCCGCCGGCGGAAGTAGATGGGGCAGATGACCTCCATTCCATTGGAAAGACCAGGTAGAGCTTTCTCTACCTGCACTGTTGTATTTGGTATTTTCAATTGGGGCCAAACAGCAAAAAGAAGAAACGAATGGCGCATTGTCGTAAACTCGGCTATAATCGCGTAAGCGGAGTCTAAGCCAGTAAAGTAAGTAAGTAAGATTCGTCAGTCATTCATTCCGGGTCTAAAAAAGTACGGTTTACTTAAGTAAAAATTGACTTTATTTATTTTCGTATTCTCCGTCCGTGGCCACATAATCATTGCAGCGCCGGGCTACTACTTCCGCAAAACGATATATCTTTGGCCTCAAAAGAGGCATTTGTTTCAGCAACAACCTCGAAATTCCGAAATTATTTACCGGTGAGTGAGTTTTTGCAGCCTACAAACAGCCAGGACCCAAATCTCGTAGCAAGTCGAAGTTAAAATCCTGTAAACTTACCCTTTTATACCATTACCACCATAAGTATTAAATGGTTTGTTCACTTTGGTCCGAAGTATCAGTAGTAATTCAGAGGAAGAAGAGACAGACCTACCAAAATTTATATCGGTAAGATCTTAATGACGAGCTGTGTTGTTTTAGCAGTGTCTGTCTGCCTATCTGTTTGTTGGCAAATTAGTTCCTCAGTTTTTGAGATATTTCAATCAAACTTGGTACACAAATTCACTGGTACATTAAAACGATCGGTCGGAACCGGCCAATTGATTGATCACTCAAAGCCATGTACAAGTATATATACGTGTACGTTAATAGTAAATGATGCACCTCGAATCACGTTCATTATATTTCGATTTGTTTAAGTCCGACCCTGACAATGAGACACAGTTCGTTTTGAGTTAAAAGCTGAAATAAAGTCAATCTGGTTCTTCCCTATTTTGCTAGAGAAATTGATCTAAAAAGAGTTTGCTTACTTCACCGAAGCTGCTCATAAGTCTACATTCCACGACCCTTAAATATAATATTACAAAAATTAATGCTCTGTTCACGCTATGAGTTTGATTTTCCTTGAAATTATATCGCAATTCGAAAATTCAGCTTGATTTTTTATTTAAATTAATTTTCTACAACTTTTAGATTTTGTTCTTACCAGGATTTGAACCCTGTCCTACCTAAGGGATATAAACATAAAAATAATTGCAAAATTGAGGTTCTACGCGCTTTAGGAGAAAGAAGCGCGGCGAGTTGGTGATATTCAACTTTTTTTTCTGAAATCTAAAAACATTAAATCCTTTGCAATTACTTTATTAGTCTTTCTTTCAAATTTAGAATGATCGACTAAAATGGAGACGAAAAAAGGCAAGCTAGATAAGGATAGGTCAAACGATATTCTAATATCAACGCAAACAGAAATTTGCCATTAAATTCTGTTCGGGTTTCGGTGTAATTTACAGCCAATACAAATATTCATTGAATGCCAAATTGCATATGGAACGATTGTGCCGTTTTTAAAGACTATTTCCAAAATTCCAGACCTGACATTTTCCCGTAGAGGTCGACGAAAATCTTCTACTGTCGTCACGATTGATACAAGAAATGCTTACTAATGAATTGGTAGTGAATGCTTTGGTTGTATCGCAAATTATAAGTAAACACTTGAGATACATGAATAAATCTGCTCGTTGTGTGTACCACGAATTTTAAATGAGTCCCAAAAGGGGGTCCAGTGCAGTTTGCTAATTTTTCCTAAACAAAGTCGAAAATGGTCACTCTAGCAACTTTGGTAAAGTCATTACTGATAACGAATCTTGGTTCCGTGAGTACGATAAATAAACCAAACAGCAGTCCATGGAGGAAACCCAGTAGTAAATTCTAAGCAACAGAAATCAGCAGCAAAAGTAATGATGTCAGCTTACTTCACCCGATCTAAAATTGTAGCTGCTTTTCCACTGGTTAACGGCCAGACGGTAACTGCAAAATGTTACACCGAAGGTTGCTTCCCAAAAGTTTTCAAAAATTTGTTGGAA